AACCCGCTCTCGGACAACAGAGCCCCACGCTGCCCTTGACAGCTGTGCCCTGTTAGGGATCAGGGCTTGTGGCAAAGCCAATCTCCGGGCAACCTAATGAGAGCAGCTGGCTTATAGTCAGTTGCCTGATTGGCTCCACCTGTCAGCAGACCAGGCCTTAAGCCCAGCAGCAGTTCAGTGGGTGCTCCAAGTACTTGCCCACTGCTGCACCTGCGTTACTCCAGGTAACCCAGTCCTGCCCTTCGGCTCTGATTCCTGACTTTGGCTCTGACCCTGGGCTCCTATTTCTACTCCTACCACTGGGCCTGTCTCCTGCTCCAGCCATTGGGCACGACTGCCCCACATCCCGGTCTCTGCCAGGCCCGGTCCCTACTCTCCACACAGCAGTGGCAGCCTACTACTGAAAAACAGGCTGGTGCTGGTGCTCCAGATTTTGGTGCCTAGGATGCTAAGCTCCCTCCATCCTTTAGCTGGGGTGGTGCCCACACTGGGCAGGGGGCTGCATGCCCGGAGGGGAGGGGAACTGCCTACCCATGGCCCAAAGAGCTTACAGTCTGCAGGTAAAGGGGGCAGGTAAAGGGAAACTGAGGCAGAGAAAGGGGTGGGGGAAAGTGAGGCTGGGCAGCTGAAGGGTGACCACGGCAGGCAAGGGGCAGGAAGAAGGGGGGAGTCCAAGAGCCAATGACAATGCAGCAAAAATGATCAGAGGTCTGGAGCACATGACTTAAGAGGAGAGGCTGAGGGAACTGGGATTGTTTAGTCTGCAGAAGAGAAGCGTGAGGGGGGGGATAGCAGCCTTCAACTACCTGAAAGGAGGTTCCAAAGAGGATGGATCTAGACTGTTCTCAGTGGTACCAGATGACAGAACAAGGAGCAAAGGTCTCAAGTTGCAGTGGGGGAGGTTTAGGTTGGAGATTAGGAAAAACTTTTTCACTAGGAGGGTGGTGAAGCACTGGAATGCGTTACCTAGGGAGGTGGTGGAATCTCCTTCCTTAGAGGTTTTCCTTGACAAAGCCCTGGCTGGGATGATTTAGTTGGGATTGGTCCTGCTCTGAGCGGGGGGTTGGACTAGATGACCTCCTGTGGACCCTTCCAACCCTGATCTTCTATGATTGTATGATTCTAAATGCTGAGCGACAGGATGATGTCAAGAGGCCATGAAGTCCTTTCTGGCAGGCCCTGACTTTCCTGCTGCACCCTCTAGCCAGTGCTGGTTGCTCTGGGGATGGAGCCCCGAGGGTCTAGGGAGTCTGCCCACTAAGAACTCTCTGTGGTTGCAGCTCCCCTGTGGAGGGCCACGTTGGATTGGGGGGTGGGTAAGGTGAGCTGGAAGGCCCTGATTTTCCACCAGTGCCCACCGTCCCATGGTGAGCACATGTGAGGGGTCCCAAAGCACCACCAGTGCCCTGGAGCTGGTCTGTGCCAAACGCCAGCCTACCAGCAGACAGGGCTGTGGAGCAGCCCCGATTCCATACCGGCTCCGAGCCCACAGGAATGGGAAGCAGCAGACACAGGCTGCTACAGCCAAAGCGTGAGTCTGACACACGGGGACAGCTGCCTGAGAAGGCCCTGAGCCACTGCCCATGGGCCTGGAACCCCTGTGCCACATCCCCAGCATGCAAAGCGGACTGACGGACACAGGGGGGTGTTGGCCAGAAGCACATTGCCATGCTGGGAGGCCATCAAAGATTGCAAGCTCCCGCCATGTGCCCAGCAGTCTGGACCAGCTAACACTGCCTTCGCTAAAGATACAGCATGTGGACGTGTGCTGAGGCCAAATTCTGTCCAGTGATGCTGGTGTAAATCCAGAGTGGCCCCACGGGAGCCAGACACCTCCAGAGTGACACCTGAGTAAATGAGAGCAGAATCTGGTCCCTTCTCTTTAAAAAGCTTCTAAACTGTGTAATTAAGTGCATGGGCTGGTACCTCTCAGGGGTAAATGGATCTGCTCTGTGCTCTTTATGTAGCCAGGGAGATGTACAATAAAGCTCAGCACTTATATCGCATCTGACAACATCAAACGGCTTCCCAACTGCCAACCATGGTGTGTGCCCTGCCGCTAGAGGGTAACAGCCTACTACTGCAGCCAGGTAGTGGAGTTATTCCATCAGCACAAGCGGTGGAGGCCTGTGCTCCAGGGCTCGACCCCTGATGAAGACTCGTTCTTTGGGAGGGAGGAGTTGTTACGATTGCCAGGTGGGAAACGGTTTTCCTGTCCCATGAAAATTTTCAAGGTTTCAAAATCTTGCCTGTTTTGCATCGGGGTGAAACCAAGAGCTTTTGAATAATTTGGTGAAAAGCCAGAGAGACAAACCCTCTGCAGAATAGTCAATAGTAAGGCCCCCACTGTGACTCAGGCAAAGCAAGGACTTGAACCCGGGTCTCCCACGTGAGCATCCTATCCACTAGACAACTGGCTACACTGAAGTGGAAAGGGCTCGCTAGCTTTCTCTCTTTCTCGTTTTGACTGACCCTTTCCTGTGAAAAGTTTTGGTGAATCGAGATACTTCCAACAAAAAAACTATTCCGAAAAGCTCCAGACCAGATCTAGCTGTTCCATACCATTCCTCACAACACCCCTGTGAGCGAGGTAGGCAGGGGAAACTGAGGCAGAGCACAGTTAAGTGACTTGCCCCAGGTCCCGCAGCAAGCTATGGATAGAACCCAGGTGTCCTGGCTTGCAGTTAAACCATGAGACAGCAGTCTTGTGGGCTGCTGACCTATTTTCACCCAGCAAAGAGCAGGGGACAGGATACGACTCTCTGCAGAGCTGTTGGTGCTGTTTATCTACTGGTGAGACGACCTTCAAGACTAAGACACCGAAAGCGGCCAACATATTGGAACAAAAATAGAAAAAATAAACAGTGAAATGTCTCGTTTGGTTTCTTCGCTCTCACTTGCTTTTTTTTTTTTTTCAGTGATGCTAGTTTTCCATCCGTAGCTGAAGTTGAGAAAAAAACAAAATATTTTGCTTCTTCCTTTCCTGCCAGCTGTTTTTTAGAGCTGCAGCTCCCAAATGGGGAGGACTGAAGAGAAGACATTTCATTCGAGACACAAGAAGCTTTCTTTGGCAAGGGGATCATAACTTCAGTTCGTTTGGGTAGCTGCGGGTTGGGAATTTGAAACCCCCTCAGCCAAATTCTGTCCTCGTTTACAGCTGGGTAATCCCGCTGACTGCAAGGGGGTGGTGAAACAATCCCAAAATGGTGGCCCTTAGTGGAGATCGGACCCAGACACTTCTGTGCTAAAAAGCACAGGCTTCTAGCATGGGAGCTACAAGAATGGCTAACTGGTAGCACTAGTAGGCTCTTATCCCCTGTGTGAGCCAGCAGCTACAGAGGAACCTAACCCATGCTGAACCAGGAGGTTAGCCTTGAACAGAAGTAACCGAGGACAGAAATTGTGAGGAAGGGACTCTGGGTACGTCTACACTGCAATAAAAGACCTGTGGCTGCAAGTCTCGGGAAACAGACTAGCTGAGGCCGAGGGAAAGTTACTTAATGTCGCTCTGCCTCAGCTCGACTGTAAGAGGGGAAGAATTGTATGTCCCTGTATCCCAGCAGTAGTGAGGGACTCCACAGTGATGAGGAAGACAGATGGCGAGTTGGAGAATGACTGTGCTTTGGACTAGCTGTTTGATCACCTACTGTGTTACTCATAGACTTCAAAGCCAGAAGGGACCATGGGGATCATCTAGATTGACCTCCTGCATGTCACAGGCCACAAAATCCCGCCCGCACACTCCGGTACTAGACCCCTAACCTCTGGCTGAGTCACTGACATCCTCAAATCAGGATCTAAAAGAATCCACTGTTGACTCTGCTTCAAACCAGCGAGTGACATCAAACCAGGTCCAGCTCACCGTGTCCAGTTTGTGTCGCAGTCCCACCCAAAGTAACACCACGCTCACAAAGTTCTATGGCTGACTCTGCCCGCGGGGAAAAGCCTTTGAAGGGATACATTCATGGAGGTTAAGTCCATCAATGGCTATTAGCCAGGATGGGTAAGGAATGGTGTCCCTAGCCTCTGTTTGTCAGAGGATGGAGATGGATGGCAGGAGAGAGATC